GCTTCATTTTAACTCGTACGGCATGTGTCCATTTTTGACATGTTTGGATCAATAATGAAAAAGTTCGCATTTCGTTGGATTCGTTGAATGCTTCATTTTAACTCGGAGAGTGTTTTTGTGTTAGGGTTTAATAAATTTATAGTGTTTGTGTTTTTTTGTGTGTTTTGAACTGTTTTCTTTCGCCTGTTTGTTTTTTTGATGTTTGCCCCATGGGCCCATATAGTTTGTTTTTTAAATTTCACTGAATTTTGCACTGAAACTGTCGGCGAAAACGGCGAATTTTTAGCCCTCCGTTAACTGCGTGTCATTGGCAAGAGAGGTACAAAGTGAGGGGGTGCTGTCAAAAGGGCTGCAGTGTGCGAGTCAACGGGTGTTGGTAAGAGGGGTGCAGTGTGAGATGGATCACCTGACGCAGGATGTAGCATCCTCGCAGCTGCTCCACGAGCCTACAGGCCCATTCTCTGTTCTTTTCGGCCCCGTCAACCACGCAGCCCTGTTTTGGCCACGCGATCTGCGTCACCACGGCCACCCTTTTTCAGACCAGGCTCACGTTGCCTTTGGCTTCATTTTTGCTTTCTGCCTAGGAAGATTTTCATGCTCGTCTGGGCACCCGGGTGTACCCCGGGCGTGCAAAAAAAAAACGATATAATAATATATATTTTTTTTTGCCGTTCTTTGCTCTCCCAGAGAACCCCAAATCTGGGCCCATTTCATTTTTTGAGAGTTGGCTGTCAAGGGGGGGGAAGGGGGGTATAAATTTCTTTTAAAGGGGCTAAGGGGGTTTAAAGGGGGGTGCCTTGGTGCCTTACTGTGATTTTGGTATTTTCTTTTTCATCTCTGATTCGGCGAGGAATTCTGATGTGACCCTCTGCCAAAAGTTGTTTGTATTGCAATTCTACACAACTGCTTTTTTTTCTGGAATTTTTTACTTTCGGTTTTTTTTTTTTTTTTTTTTTTTTTTTTTTTTTTTTTTTTTTGCGCTGGGGATGCCCGGAACCCGGCCAGGCACCCGGGCGTGTATCCGGGCACTGGTTGGGTGCCCGGGCGCCCAGAAAAACAGCCTAGCTTTCTGCACTTATTTGTCAGTATTTATTTATTTCTTTTTATTCTGAGGAGATTTTGGTCAGTCTAGGTCCGTCTTCTTTTAGATGTGACTTTCCGGATCATTCTTTAGTCCGAACAGGGGTCGCCTATTCGAACCAGTGGTTCTGCAGATAGACTGAGGTAGGCCTGAGCCAGGTTGTCCGGTAGCAGGACTGGACCAGGTGCTCGTCTGCACCCTGGCCCAGTCCTTAGTGTCCGTTGGAGGACAGGGGAGTAGGACTAGGACCTGGCCCTGCGGCCAGGACCATCGATCAGAGGGTAGATCCGACGGCCCTGGTGCGGACCTCCACTGTACCCAGTGACATATAGTTGGGTAGTCCTTGGACCACGGACAGGCATGCAGTCCTGGTGTGGTCGAGGAAAGGAGGAGGGGAGCTGTTGGTGTTCAGTGCTGGGAGCTGGGTATGCAGAGGCGGACGAGAGGGCTAGAGGGTGCCTGCAGTCAGGACAGAGGGATGGTCCTCTACACCCATGGGTGCAGAAACCATGCCATGGAGTGATTGTGACAGAAATGATGGCCGCTACATCCTAATGTAACAGTGTTTGTAGTTGTGCAAAGGAGAAAGTCGCCGAGTGTTGGTATAATGTCTGCTGCAGCACGGGGCCAGCGGAATGATCTTCAACATAAAAGAGATTGCGGACGGTTTGCTGTGGGAAGAAAACAGCATCATTATGTAGGATATCAGTAACGTCAGTCATGGCATGGACCATGATGCTGTTGTCCCACACCTTTCCCAGTGGTCAGAGGCATGTACAATGGCCATGCAATGGCCAGGTCCGTGCACAATGCAGGCAGAGCTGTGGGATGGAGGATTATACGACTCGCCTGCTTGACCATTGCCTAGTTCAAGTTGGCAGTCCCTTATTGCTACCTGTAGTACAGCAATAAAAGCCTCTCTCCGTGGTACAGTTACAATCCTCTGGCTGTAGGTGGGGAAGATCAGCTGCAAGGTAGTCTGATGGTGTATAAAACAGGTGGTGGAGAATGTGAAGACAGAAGTTAGTTGCGCTCAGACCACAAAGATTGGCAGGGATTTCAGGCTGGTGTGGCGTCAGCTGGCCTACCATATACATTATCACACAATTGCCCAACTAAAGTGCATAAGGCCAAAAGGGAGAAAAACAAAGAAAAAGTCTGAAAAACAGAAATAGAAGGGGAAACAAAAAAGGGTGAGGGACTTGTCATACTTCATATCCTATCCGATCTGGTAGCATTAGATATGGGTTGCAGAAACTTGCAGTGCACCTGCCCCCTGCTAATGGACCGACTCCCTGAGGTAAAGACCTGAGACAGCCCTTGCTTTTCTCCCATAGCGACTCACTACAGCAGACACTTAATCAGAAGTCCATTTTCACATCACAGCAACCTTTCCTGTTAGTCCACAACAGCAGTGAAAACCCTTTCTTGGGGAGATCCTTTCTTTGGGGAGATCCTTTCTTTGGGGAGATCCTTTCTTTCTTTCTCTATTCTGGTTAAGCATTTCAGCAGAAATGTGCGAAGTTGCAAAGTTGCAAACACAAAAACTGAAAAAGTTGCTCTCCAAACTGTAACTCTATCATACACAAATATTGAACTATCAAAAACTCATGGCTACGCCGGACCCGGACCCAGACATTTCCGGACATGGAACCGGACCCGTGTCCGGTACTTTCCGGACGTGCGGAATTCCGGACAATTCCGGTCATGGAGCTCCGGTCATGGGGCGGATCCGGATGGTCCGGATGTCTGGACAGGTCCGGAAATGTCCGGACCATTAAAAAAAATAAAAATAAAAAGATCTGAAAATTTCAAAAAAAAGTATGTTATGCAGAATAACAATGCAAACCACTTTTGCCTCAGATTCATGTCAGAATTCCTAACCAAACTTGAGTTAAAAGGAAAAAACTATAAAAAGCTTTAAAAAAGACTTAAAAAACTAATTAAAGGTAATTGCATGGAACATGAATATGGACGAAGCACGGAAATCCAGAATGCAAAATCACACTGAAGTCCAAGTAGTCAAAGCCAAAGCAGATAGCACAATGGAACCGAGTAACCATCCAATTGAGAATGATACAGAAGAATCGTGAGTCAATGTCCATGCCCAACAGGGCAACACCAACAGCATAACCCAATGTAGCTCTCTCTTATGAATG